ATCCCTTTGGGTACTTTACAAATATATAGGCCCCACCCCTGGAGATTCTAGTTTAGTAGGTCTTTCATGGGACCTGGGAATTTGATTTTTAAAAAACTTAACCAGTGGCTCTGATTTAGGGTTAGGTTTATGAACCACTGATACAATGCAGAGAGAGTGGACTGTAAATGAGGTCAGATCTGGTCCTAGTGCTACCACTTAGTAACTAAGTAGCTTGTGTGATTCTGATAATGTTACTTAACTAACTTCTGAGCGTTGCTCTATTTATTTGCAGTGTTGAAATAGTTAAATAAGGTATAATATTAAAGTATCATAATTAATGCAAAGCAGTTATTTTTATATGGGCCTTTACCATTACAGATATATATATATATATACACACACACACACAGATATAGCTGTATATATATATGTACAAGCTGACCACGTGGGTAATCTGGCTGTCCTTTGTTGTCTAGGTCATCCCATACTCACTTTTATCATCTACCTTTGTCACTCTGAATTTGGACAAGTCCAGTTCAAGGCCTGTAGACCTCACAGCAGCTGTGAATAAGCTGGTGATGGCTTCTTCAGCCTCTGCTCAGCTTTATTGGATATAAGTCATTACTTCAGTCAACACAGCCATCTTTAGTACTTCAGATACATTCACAGCCATAATTCTACCTATTTTTAAATTTTTATTTATTTACTTATTTATTTATTTATTTATAGCTGCGTTGGGTCTTCGTTGCTGCACGCGGGCTTTCTCTAGTTGCAGCGAGCGGTGGCTACTCTTCGTTGCGGTGCGTGGGCTTCTCATTGCGGTGGCTTCTCTTGTTGCGGAGCACAGGCTCTAGGCATGCAGGCTTCAGTAGTTGTGGCACGCAGGCTTCAGTAGTTTTGGCTCGTGGGCTCTCGAGCGCAGGCTCAGTAGTTGTGGCACACGGGCTTAGTTGCTCCGCGACATGTGGGATCTTCCTGGACCAGGGCTCAAACCTGTGTCCCCTGTATTGGCAGGCGGGTTCTTAACCACTGCGCCACCAGGGAAGCCCATAATTCTACCTATTTTTTGAAGTTGTCTGAATTACAGTTGGTAGCAGTTGCTACAATGTGAGTATAACTTCCTCCCTTGCTCCACTTTCCATACCCCACTCCCCCTACCCATGATGCTGAGAACAGATATGTAGGAATAAAGAGGAATAAGAGAACCAGACTGAAATCTCAACAGAAAAAGTTTACAGTAATGACTAGAGCTAGAATGACTACCTCCTTTTTGAAATACTTCACTTGCTATAGAGACATGTATGGAATGGGGAAGAAGACAAAATTTGAATCTACATGACTTTGGTATTTTGGGCTGCCAGTATCCAATCCCGATTTTCTCGATAATTCCATCCCTGCACCTTGCAGTCCATGCTTCTAAGGAAGTTAACTTTCTCCTCATTCCTGTCTTTCTGTGCCAGCTATGTCTCAGGCCTAACTAATGAACATGGTCTCTTCCTCTCTGGCCACGATGACTTATTTGAAAATGGTTCCATAACCTATGACAGTCCTATCACACTGCAAACCTGGACTTCTCAGATGGTTCAGGGAAGAGATGTGCTCTTTTCCACTACATAGAGACAAGAGTGCATGTGGCAGCCATCTTAGGATCACAAAGGTAGTTTTCTCAGAATGGAGCCAAATTTGATAAATCAGTGCTGAGAAGTAGAGACAGTGATTGTGTCTTGGTCACAGTGCTTTGAAAAGATTAAGCCTTGTTTGAAAACACGATTTACTTTTGTTTCTTACTGGTTTAAAGACAGATTATGCAAGGTTTTCTATTTTCTGTCATTTACAATGGATAGCATCTTATATACAAATATTGATACAATTTCTTTAAGAGATATGGGTCATCTGAATTGAAGTGCTGAATGCTACCAAGTAACATAAAACACTTTCAAAAGCCAAATGGTCAGGTGTAGCATATGAAAGGCATGCCTTAAAACGGCATGTGTGGAAAAACCTACACATAAGTAGATAGGAAGTGGATATTATTATTTTGGCTACATTAATATACATATAGTTCATAGAAAAGATAAGGGATCATTCTACCAGAGTCCTAAAACCTCACTTTAGGTATTAAGTTAAACCCTGTGCACAAACCATTGCCAAAGGATAAAGACAATTTGGAGAGAATTCAAAATAACCATGATGGGGAGGAGACTGCAAATATGTCTTATGGGGGTGGGTGAAAGGAAATGGAATGTTTAAGTTTCAGGGGACATAGGGCAATCGTCTTCAATTATTTTAAGATATGTGTAGTAGACATTTGGTTTTTGGTTACTCAGTGTCACTTGACTTCACGTAACAGCCATATGTATTTGGTGATTCATTTCCTTCAAATTTATCTGAAATTAGTGCTGCCCCTGGACTATTAAAGTACATCAGCCATTATATTTTCATTTTTGCTTAGGTCAGTTTAGCTGAGTTTTTTGATTTGCAATTAAGAGTTTTAACTAATACAAAATGTCATCTCTAAAAAGCATTAGATCTTTGAAGTCCCTAAGGATAGACCAAAATGTGTAAACTACATGCTAGAAGTCTTCAGTTAAATGGCAGAAACAAATTTTATTTTTTTAATAAATTTATTTTTGGCTGCATTGGGTCTTCGTCACTGCACACGGACTTTCTCTGGTTGTGGCGCGCGGGGGCTACTCTTCGCTGTGGCACGCGGGCTTCTCATTGCGGTGGCTTCTCTTGTTGCAGAGCTCAGGCTCTAGGCGTGCGGGCTTCAGTAGTTGTGGCTCGCGGGCTCTGGAGTACAGGCTCCGTAGTCGTGGCGCACGGGCTTAGTTGCTCCGCGGCATGTGGGATCTTCCTGGACCAGGGATCTAACCCGTGTCCCCTGCATTGGCAGGTGGATTCTTAACCACTGCACCACTAGGGAAGTGCCAAATTTCTAAGAATAAGGACTATCTGAAGACAAAATTATCGTTTAGGAAGATAATTCAACCTTCAAATTTTGATGGTTAATTAATAAAGGTGAATTTTGAGGTCTTTTTTAAACCGAAGAGTCTATGAAAGTATCTCTAAAGTTTAGGAAGGCAAGCACAATACTGACAAAATTTAAAGTTATTAAAAATATTAATTTTAGTTCAACTTATACAGTTGTATTATTCATATGCTGATTTTATACTTTCTTAGTAGGTTATGCTTCTTATATATTTCAATATTTTAATACCTAGTGGATTTTAAAATCACTTAATAGACCTTAAAGTCTAATGTTTAAATAGAGAGGCATGTATAGTTGTGTCTTTGTTTTGATATCACAACTGTAATTTTATTGTGTATGAAGTCTCTACTTGGGAACATAACCTTAATTGTAACATTATTCCCAATGGGAGAAAATGCCTTGCTGCAAAATAAGTTATTTGCTGCAAAACAGGACAAATGCTTCTACTGATAGGTTAGGACTTCGGTCCTGAATTACTGAAATACTTAAAGATCATTCCCTTGCCTGTTCTTAATTCTTGAATAAACAAGTGAAATCAGCGAAATAAATAAAACCAGCAGGGAGATAAGTGAAACGAACATTAAAAAAAATTTAATTCATGAGATACACTGCAGTATTTATGTATGTTTGAATATGCTGAGAAAAAAATCTGGAGGGATACCTATCAAATTATTAACAGTTTACCTTGGGCATGTGGAACTGGCGTAGGGTGAAGGAAGTGCTCTTTTAAATTCATATACTTCTGTATTGTTTGAAATTTTACAATGAGAATTCACTACTTCTATAATAATCAAAACTATAATAGAAATTTAAAAAATAAAAATAGTAACAAAGTAAAAAACAAAGTAAAAAACACACAGTAGTTTTAGGAGGTATGGAGAATATATACAGTATGTATTACAGTTGTTTTAAGAGCTACATTGAAGGTATGGAGAATTAAATCATATGGCATATTTTTCCACGAACACTGTGGTGGTAAATATAATTGTGTAGTCTATAACCAAGGAAACAACATTAAAGAAGTCACTTTTAGCAACATTCCAATTTAAAAAGTCCTCTGGGATAAAAGCCCTTAAGCAGTGACCCTTCAAAGTGGATACTAAAACTGAAAATAGGGCTTAACTATTCCTAGAGGACCTACAGGAAAACATGTCAATCTGAAAACTTCAGACAAAAGGAAAAGCTTCACAGAAGTAAATTTGGAATACTAAAACAGTTAACCAAAGGCCAGAAATTGTGTGGATGAGAATTCCAACCAGTCCAGATCCAAAACTAAATCACTGAAATCTTGGTAATCTAGGGATGTCGGTTAGGGGCATCTACTTTACCCATTTGTTTATCATTTCTCCCAATTTCTCAATTGGTCCGCTTTTTATCTCAATGATTTTAACCTAAAAATACTGCAATTTTAATTGGAAGGAATAAAATTAATTCCATCTAGATTAACTTTAGGTTTATTCTTCTAGTTAAAAGAACTAGAAAAATTTGAAACTAATGATTTTCCATTATTCATTTTTTTCCTCATCACTATTTCTAGCTACTTAATGAATATTCTGGGAGGTAATACTTTGGATTTCTCATGGGTCCCTGAAGTTCTGTATATGGGGAAACCTTTTTTCTCATGTTCTAGTGTTTTCTCCTTTTATTGAAGTCATCAGGGATGACAAACTTCTATTATAAACTTTTTTCTTCCAACAAAGAGGATTCTTTAGGTAACTATCATGTTGATGGTTAAATATCCTCAAAGTTGGAACGTCTGTAACTAGAAGTTTCCGTCTTTTGCAAGCTACATAGTTAAGTGCTTAACTAATATAATTTTGCACTCCTAAAAGACTGTTCCTGACATAGGTGTCAAAGGCTTGTGTAGGATTATACTCGCAGCATAAGGAAATAATATGGAAAACTTCACAAAAATCTCATCAGAAAATTAAAAGTCATAATGACCATACTTTACAAAGTTACAACAGCCGGAATTTTGCTGTTTCTCAATGGATTACTGTATTTTAATTAAAAAAAAAAAAAAAGATTCATCATAACTAAATATATAAAGTATTTAGCACGATGCCAGGTACAAAATAACAATTCAATAAAACTTAGCTCTATAATGAAGAATGGATTAAAACAATAAACAAAAATATAAGAAACCAAAATGGAGAAAAAAAGCTTAGAACTAATTTCCTGGAGTATGTATTTAAATGGAAAGTCGAAGCTCACAGAGAGCAGTAAGAAATTCTGCATTTTCTGGATCTATCTTTTGGGCCCTTTCATAGTACTCAGCAGCTTGCCTCTTTTCTCCCTCCAGCTTGTAAACAAACCCTAGGGCACTTAAACTCTGCACATCTGAAGCATTATGACCAAGTCTCTTGGCAGCCAATTTCTTTAGAGCACTTGTCAGTTTAGTACGCAGAGATGACCTGTCTTTGACCTTTAAGGCTTCTAAATAATGGTGGATGGCAGTATTTTCTGATTTACAGTGAAATTCCTGAAAGCGGCCATAGTGGTAGTGGATCTGATGTTTGTGATCATCAGTTATGTTCTCCAGACGAAGAGCTTTCTGAAAAATGTTTTCAGCATTGCTATACTGGCCTCCCTCAGCATACATGTTGGCCAGGTCCATGTAGGCAAATGCAAACATAGAATCTCGCTCCACAGCTTCTTTGAAATGAAATATAGCTGATGTAATCAGCTCACCAACTTTCAGTTTATCCTTTCCTTTAGGTCTGTTGCGAGTGGCCTTCTTGATTTGGATCATTTGTGCCCTATAGCAAAGTCCCATTTGGTGATGCAGGAAAGAAGAGGTTGGTGTCGCCTCTAAGGCCTTTTTCAAAAGTTCAAGAGCTTTGTCCCAGGAATTTTTTCTCCTATAGAATTTGGCTGCATAACGAAGAACGTAAGGTTGGGATGATATCTGGTCCAGGATTTCTTCAATATACTTTTCCCCTTCAGCTTCTGCATGTACATCTTGAAGCTTCAGCGCCAGAAAAACCTTAATATAGGAATTATCTGGGTTCAGGGTAACAGCTTTCCGCAGAGGGCCCAGAGAAAAGCTCTTTATAGACCCTTCTCTGTCAGAATCATCCAGCCGATACACTGTGATGGCATAGCCGATGTTAAATTCTGGATTGTCGGGTTCTGCTTCCAGAGCCTTCTCAAAAGCTGCTTTAGCCTTTTGGTGATACTTTCCTCCAAATTTCAAGAGTGCCCACCCTTTCTCACAGTCAATCTCTGGACGCTCCAACTTGTAGTTAGAAGGACTGGACAATTTCTTGCAGACGTTCCCTACCTTGTCTATATACTTCTGAGCTTCTTTAAGCTGGTCCATGTGATAATAAACCCAGGCGTAGTTTCCCCAAGTGACCAGACTTTTTACTTCTTCTTTGTCCGAGTGTTCTCGCTGTATTATTTCTTCTGCTTGTTTCAAGCACTCTAGAGCATCTTTATTTTGGCCCTTTAGGTGTTTCACATAGGCCAACAGGTTATAAAGAGTGAGTCTGGATTTTGTGGTAAGAAATTCAAGCTGTTGCCCAATTGTATCTTCTACATCAAACAGATCAATGTCTTCCTTAAGTAAATTCCATGTGAAGTGACATTCTAACTCCAACAGAACGGCCTTCAATGAGTCCTTAGGAATTTCACTGTCAAAGATAAAATCCTTTTTAATTTTTGAAGAAATAAAGGAAATAATAAATTTTTAAATCTTAAACAGGTTGTTAAGCAAAGAACTATATTTTATCTATTTGATCTCACAGTTAAAGCACTTAAGTTTCTATAACTCTATACACAGAGGAAACTAGTATAGTTATGTCCTAGAAATATTTCATTAAATTCACATTATTTATTGCAAAACCAATTCTGGAGAGATGACAGCATTTTCTATGTTATAGGGTATCTATTTCCTTTTGGCAGTCACTAACCCACAAGGACCACCTATTTTTAGAGAGGGGAATTTAAAATATTGTATTTACTAGTTCTGAAACTTAAGAATAATAGATATATACACAGTTAATAAACAACATAAAAATTTCTTTTCTGTATTATGAGTAGTGAAGGGAAAGATGAGAAGGTGAGAAATAAGAAAAAGAAGTACACTGAAGGAGACAGAAGCCACTATTATGAGTAGTGAAGGGAAAGAGGAGAAGGTGAGAAATAAGAAAAAGAAGTACACTGAAGGAGACAGAAGCCACATGAATATATCATTTTTGCAGAGAAATAAAGAAACGAACAAAGGAAACCCCACAGAGAAAAAAAAGACACAGGGTCAGACAGGAACAGGAATACCAAGAGACGGGAAGAGGTATAAGTTTGAGATATAACAAAGATTTAGAGAAAATGGGGAAAAAGCAAAAGGAGGGTTAGTAGGTTTTGATGTTATGTGCTACATCCTTCTGACCTTTAGGATTGTGGGCATAAATAAAGGCTACCACCTATTATTAACTTAACATTACCCTTAATGTTCACTTCACAAATATTTGTTGAATTCCCTTTGTGTGAAGCACAGTGTTATCTCTGCAGGGCCTACTTTCATCTCTGAAACTAGGAAGCTGAAGGGGAAAGGAAGGGACAGGAAGTATTTATTCATTACCGAAAGGCTTTTATGTGCAAGATCTTCTGAATAACCCTGGGGATGTAACTGTGAATAAGACACAGCCCTAATAAAGATGTTAAAAAAAATAATAATAAATTATACCTTAAGCAAAAAAAAAAAAAAAAAAAAGACACAGCCCTGCTTATACAGAGCTTATAAGTACACTAAGTACACAGTCAATTACAACTCAGCATTCCAATAAAGTTCCATGGAAGTGACTCAGGAAGGGCACATAGTCCAGTGTTGTGGACATCTGGGGCCTTCATTTGGTGGAACATCTCCCCCTACTCTCAGTCCACGTGATCTGAGACAGGCTGTCTACACTTTCCTCCATTCTGTAGGGAAGCACACATATTCCAGTCATTCCTTGACCCAGTGATATATTCAGAGATAATCCAATTAAAATATAATTTTGCTGAAATGGGGCTTTGCTGGAACTCTCTTCCAAAAATTTTAAGCTTGTAGAATATAAGCTGGAGTTGCTGGTGGCCATCTTTCCAAACTCTTGGGGACAGCCTGCCTGAGAAAGAATCAAGCATAGAGGAAAGAAGGGCTTAGACAGAAATAAAGACAGATTGCTTGTGGTGCTGACTAAATACCTGGATCACCCTATCCATCTTATACTTTTTTAAGGAAATAATCTCTTTTTGCTTAAGCTAGTTTGAACTGGGTTTCTCCTGTCTGCAACTGACAAAATCCTGATTAATATACCTAGTTTTGTTTGTTTTGCTGATGGTAGTGGTGAGGCCGTCAGGAAAGACTTTCTAAATCTACAGCTGGCCACAATTAAGGGTTGAAAGAAATTTACAGGAAAAAAAGCTACTTAAGGCTTCTCTCAAAGAGGGAAATATTCTAATTGTCAGATGAATAATGTACAGTGTGTGTGTATTTCCCTTTATGCTGTGCACAGGACTCTCCTTATATGTATGTATGCATATTTGTATAATTGTTTATGGGAACTATAGTATTTCTATCAAGAAACATTTATTGGGGACTTCCCTGGTGGTCCAGTGGTTAATAATCTGCCTTCCAATGCAGGGGACGCGGGTTCGATCCCTGGTTGGGGAACTAAGATCTCTCATGCCGCGGGGCAACTAAGCCCGCATGCCGCAACTACTGAGCCCGCACACTCTGGAGCCCACGCACCACAACTAGAGAGAAACCCGCACGCCACAATAAAGAGCCCATGTGCCACAATAAAAGATCCCTCATGCTGCAACGAGGATCCCGTGTGCCGCAACTGAGACCCAATGCAGCCAATTAAATGAAAAAAAAAAGGAAACATTTATTGATCACCTCATGTCATACATGCCAGGCAATATGCTGGTTGTAGTGAATATAGTAATAAGCAAGATAGAAAAAGGCCTTTTCTTCATGGTAATTCTATTATAGGGGAGGAGGGAACAAAAGGGGTTGACAGAAAATAAACATGTAAACAAATCAATGGACAACATAATTCCAGACAGTAATAAGTGTGAAGAAAAGAAAAAAATCAGAGTAATGGGATTATGTGGTGGTGGTGGTGGTGGTGTACTTTAGTTATGATTGTCAAGGAATTCTTTTAGTTGGGGCTGACCTGTGCATTGCAGGATATTTAGTAGCATCCCTGGCCTTGACCCAGTAGATGTAACTAGCATTCCTCCAGTGGTGACAACCAAAACTGTCTCCTGACATCACCAAATGTCCCCTGGCGGAGGGGGGGGCAAAAATCACCCTGGTTGAGAAACACTGGCTTAGACCATTTCCGCCCTCAGATCTTTTATGACTTCCTCCTTTTCATTGCTGAGATCTTACTTCAACTCAATTGCCCCTTTCTAATCTTAATAATCAGTAGGGGAGCAGATAAACCAAGAAATCTGGTGTCATGAAAGCCAAAGGAAGAAAATGTTGATTTCAAAAAAAGAGAGAGAAATGTTTAATGTGCACAATGATCCTAAGAGGTTGATAAAATGAGGACAGAGATCACTGTTTTGGGAGGAGTAAAGTTGTGGGGGAACTTGTTGTTTTAACAGAACAGTAGGGATGAAAATATTACTGGAGTGGGTTGAGGGGATACTGGGAAGAGGAGAAGAAGTGGATATGGGGAATATAGGTCTCACTCCTGCAAGGAATTTTACTATGAAGGGAGTAGGGAAACAGAGGCAAATCTGAGGAAATTGTCAAAAATTTTTTCAATCATATTTTTAATGACTTAATGATATGTCAAAGGGAAATGATCCAGTATTAAGGGAGAAAATGATCCTTGTGGGAGAGATGGGGATAACTGTGAGAACGATGACATATGAAGTAGAGTGAAACTATACCTTGTTAATACTACTCAAATCTTTATCTCCAGCCCCAAACTCCTAACCATGGTTACTATGCCCTTTACCATCTGGCCCATGTCTACTTCTCTAACCTCACTTTGTACCACTTTCCTCATGCTCACTGCACTCCAGTTATACAAGCCTTTACAAAATTTTATCGTTTATTATTTCTTATGCCAAGTATGCACCTACGTCAGGGCATTTGTACCTGCTTTTTATTCCCTCACTCTGTGAATTCTTCCTAAGAGAGTACTAGGGTTTACTTATTCTCATAATTCTGGGCTTGGCTCAAATCTCAGCTCTTCAAAGAAGGCTACCCCTGACCACTTTAGCTGAAGCTGCATCTCCACCTTGCCTGCCATCCTACAGTCTAGTCTATCACATTTTCCTATTCTTCACAGCACCTTTATCAATATTTTCTGGGAGTTGGGAAGGAAGAGAAGAGTGCTTTGAATCAAATATGAGATTGAGGTTTTAAAATGAATTGGGCTGAGTCTTTAGGAACTGGAAAGAGGCTGTCCTAATAGCCAAAAGTGGCAGAAGAGTCAGAGAACTGGACTAATTACACAATTAGTAGTAGTGATTAGAAAAATAAAACCACTTCATATTTATAATCTAATCATATACTTGATGAAATGTTTTCTAATTTTATAAATACTAAATTTAAACAATAGCTAACAGTATTATATTTAGTAGACATTTACATTCACTTAAAATTACTAATTTTAATTTTATAATTTTTTCATATTTTTCTCTTGTGTGGTCTGTATATACATATAAACACATGTATACAGGTCCCACATTTTAGTGATTGCAGGTTCTAGACCAGAGCTTTCTAATAGAACTTCCTGCCACGATGGGAATGTTCTTATCTGTGCTGCACAACGTGATAGACACTAGCCACAAGTGACCACTGATCACTTGAAATGTGGCTAGGATGACCAATGAACTGCTTTTTATATTTTATTTACTTTTAATTAATTTGAATAGTCACATATGACTAGTGGTTACTGCATGGAACAGGACAGTTGAAGACACTGGGCCTAAAGAGCTTAATGTATAAAAAAGCCTCAAGTCCAACAGGCTAGACCTCTACTCTAACTTGAAATTTTCCCTATTTTATTCACAGTGAGGGCTAAATTAAATGGCAAACAAGGATATATTTGAGAAAACAACTTTATGCATAAGACCTAGGTTCACTACAGATTCAGCTCAATAGTATAAATGTTACACTTGTACAATATATTTCTAGAATCAGATGAGAGGTCAAAAAAAACACCCCCAAAAACCATTCCCTTGCCACACTGTACATATCAGGCAGCCTGCCAAGCACTTTACACAAATTACATTTAATTTTTATAACAATGTCTTATTATTTTCACAGTTTTATGGATGAGGGCTGGGAAACAGAGTTTAAATTACGTGTCCAAGGTTACACAGCTATAAAGTGTCCAAGCACAGATTCAAACCTAGCTCTGCCTGACTTAAACAAAAGGTTATGCCTTTTAACCATAATGTTGCACTACCTCTTTCACATAAAAATTGGAGGTTTTTTTTTTTTTAAGAATAGTTTGCTTTAAAATATAGGATATGTCTAATGTATGTAAAATTCACTTTGCCTGGGAAGGACTTAAAAGAAAACAAGAGATTTTAGAGCAGCTTAAAGAGCAGGTAAGAGGTTTTGTAACAGCCCATTGGAAAAGACGTCAGACAGTTAAAGGTCTCAGGATAAGAAAACAATGGTTTCAAATACGAGCCCTCAATCTAAAGTCATAGCATTCTGCATTGTTGGAGTTGTTTTGAGATGGAGCTGCTTCTCACTAGGACACGCTGTGGAGGGGCAGAGAGGGTGATTAATGATTCTTTCAAATAACTAAAGAGCTGGGTGGAAATGTATTAAAAGTGATCTGAAGGAAGGACAAAAATCTTAGTTATCAAAGATATAATTATCATTATTCATGTAAGGGAATTAAAATACCTTTTTTTCCATAATCCAAAGATGTATATGCTGATGATCTTCCAAGGTATTTCTTCTAGCTCTGATCTCTCCCCTGAATTCCAGACTTATCTAACTTTTAGTTTACATCTTCAATTAGAAGTTCAGTTGGCATCTCAAGTAAATATAGAAATGATAGAAATCTGGGTTCCTTGAGCCTGTTCCTCCCTTGGTTTTCCCCACCTTGTTTGGTACCTCTTTGTCCCACAGGCCAAATAACCTAGGAGTCATCTTTGATTCCTATTCTTCAATAGGAAGTCCTGTTAATTCTATCACCCCAATACATCTCACTCCATCCACTTTTTTCCATTTCCACTGCTAGTCTAGGAAAATAGGAAAGACTATTACCTTTCCTCTGACCTGTGGCAAACATCTGGTCTGTTTCCACTCTTGATCCCCATACAGTATTAGTAAACTTTTGAAAATGTAAACCAGATTACGTCAGTCTCCTGGTTTAAAATCTCCAATAGCTTCCCAACACCCTTAGATTTTAATCTAGCCTTTGCCGTGTCTTACAAGTCCCTAAAGGAGCTGGACTTGTCTACTCACCCAACCTTGTCTCCTCCTTCTCGCCTCATTATCCGTGTTTTAGACATACTGACCTTCTTCCTATCTTGAACATATCAAGTTCAAGGCCTTTTACACCTGTTGTTTTTACTCTACTTAAAAAGCTCTGCTCCTAAATCTTTGTATGACTAGCTCCTTCCTTTAACTCAGCTCAAATATTCCTTACCCAAGAGGCCGCCTGTGGTAGAGCTATCTAAAATAACCCCCTCCATTCTAGGTCACTCTCTTAGCACTATTTTATCTTCCTTATAGCTCTTATCACTTTCTGAATTATGTTGATTATTTACTCATTTATTCTTGGTTGTCTATTTCCCCTATTTAAATGAGAATAAGGACCTTACTCCAGTTTTATGTTTTTCACCTGTGTCCCCAGCATCTGTGATTTCAGGCATATAAGAGAAACTCAACAATAAATATTTGTTGAGTGAATGCAGTTATATACTGGTAGCTTCTGGCATTTCCAGCCCAGAGGCATGAGCCTAGCATTAAAAAAAAAAAAAAAAAAAAAAAAGCACCTGAATTTCAGATGAGGGAATTCCTGCTAGCTCTTCCCATCTTGCTAATGGCTCCAAACTTTCTGCCACTTCAGTCTCCCCTATCCAACATGGGCTTACCAGCCCTGTGCCCAACCACAGAGTAAAATGAACATCTGCCTCTGTGCAAGGACGATGAGGACGGAGGGCTGCCCCAGGCATTATGATGTGGCTGTGAGATCTCCAATGGACATTCAGTTAGCCATGTAAGTGCTTTGCCCACACTCTATGGAATTAGAGTGGACACTATGCCAAGTTTTACTTTTTCAACTATGTCTACTTAATTTTTAAACTTTGTCTCTGGGAAGCTGGCAGAGAGAGGCTATTGTGTCTCAAGAGGCAACATCTATCTTCAGGTAATTTTGTGTGTGTGTGTGGGGGGGGTTGTTTTTGTTTTTTGCCAGGAAGGAGTAGTCTTTCATTTTTCTTGGGAGACAGTTAGTGCCCAATAGGGTCCACCCCTCTTCCACACCAACCTGCATCCACATACTGTGCCTCCGCCTTTCCTTCCCTATTTCTTCAGGCCCCTTCCTGGTACTTCCCACCTCCCTCCCTTCTTACAAATGGTAGAAGTGAGGCATTTATTAAATATTTTTATAGTCAACATTTGCAAATATTATGTGCCAGGCATCAGTCAACAACCCCTCTACAGTCCTAAGAGATGGATGCTATCAATTTTTACAGGTAAGAAACAGACCCACCGAACTGAAGAAACTTTGCTTTGGGTCACCCAACTCGTAGGTGGTCAAAGTCAGGATTTAGAACAAAGGGCTCGACGGGCTTCAGGGGCCCAAGGTCGGAATCTCCCACTCCTTAGCTTCCCAATGGAGGCCGTTAACTACCCACGTGCAGGACAGGGGACCGGATTACATGGGTCAGCCAAGGACCACCCACCACACGCCAGTCAAGGAGACGAGAAAGAAAGCCTCATAAAACGGTGGATGGGGTGGAACAAGAACAATCTGTCCACGGTACAAAGGGGGGGGGGGAGAATTCAGACCCAGGAATCAGAAAGCAAAATGGCAGGAACAGACGCGTGTGACGCCGCAGGCTGAGGCCTGCGGGGACCGGCCACGCAGAAGCCGCCCGCACCGGCCCGGGGCCGGCGACGACCAGAGCCGCAGGGAGGTGACAGGCCCGTGGGACGTGTCGCCCGGCACCCCCAGCCCCGCCGCCCCCCGACCGCGGACGCTCGGGGCTCGAAAGAAGGGTCCGCTCGGCCACCCTCCCCAGCAGGCCCGCCTTCAGCCCGGACCCGGACGGGGCTCCCGGGGAGCGTCCCCAACGCAGATGCCCGGCGGCCAGGCTCGGCCCCTTCAAAGGCCGCAGCGCTGCGTTGGAAATGGAATACGCGAGAAACGCGGGTGTGCCCCAACGGCCCCACGGAGCTGGGGAGAAGAAGCGGGCAGAAGCCCTCACCTCATGGTGGCTGGGCTCTGCGGCCGTCTTGGGAGGCGCCGGTCCTCTCAGCTTCTCCCCTCAGCGCTCGGCTGCTGCGCGGACTGAGCGGCCGCGTGCGTGTGCGCGCGCGCGAGCAAGATGACCGCAGCGCTAGTCCGCGCGCGCGGGCGTTCGCTTTGTTCAAGGCAGGACCCGAGCGGGAAGAGGAAACTAGAAAGTGAATCTGATCCCCGAGTAGGCGGAGTCCAGCCCCGGGAAACAGAAACTTCTGGAAGAGCTAGTTGAGCCGGCTGAGGAGTCTCAGTGAGAGGTTTGCGCAACGCGGGGTCGTTCGGGATGGAATTTACAGCTGGGCCTCGAGACTTCGGTATTGGCTCTCACCTGCCTCGCTGAGTCCACTTGCCTCAAGATTAGCTTTCTTGGGGGTGGTTGTTGTTGTTGTTGTTGTTTTAACTAAAATGACAGGAGATTGCTCAACGTTATTTTGGTTGGGTGGAGGCGATGCTCTTTACAGCTTTCTGCCTCCGAGGCTGGAACTCAAGTCTTGATTCAGCCAACACAGGTGCAGTGCCGTGCACTTGTGCCATGATTTCCATTGGGTAAATCTAGAGAAATTTGGGGGCCAAAATGTGTATACATTCAACATTTTGGTAGCTATTGCCGAAGAGCTTTGCAAAGATGTTTATACACCCCCCCACCCACAATTGTATGAAAGTTCCCTTGCCTTCCATGCCCTTGCCAACCGAGCTTCCTATAATAAGGTCCCAATAAAGATGAGGTGGTATTAGGAATCTAAGTGGAAAATAGCGAATGCCAATACACTAAAAATTTTGTCCCCTTCGAATTCAATCATTCATTCCTTCAACAAGTTTTATTAAATAAATGCTAAGGGCCAGACATTGCTGAAAGCCCTGTCGATATAGCTGGGAATAAAAGAGACAAGGGGCAAGCCCTACCCCGTTCACCGTCTTCTGCATTTTGTTCCTGGTTGTGCACAGAGAGTGGAGATAATTCTCAAACTTTGAGAAAACGTGTTCATCATTGAAACGTTTAAAAGGCACCAGCTTATCATTTTTATACCATCCTAGTCACTTTGCTTTCAAATGAATGGGCAGTGATGTACAGTTTTTACTACGTGGTCACTAGTTTTAAAAGTGCTGACTTTTTAATTCAGTTTTGCTGGAAAAATGGGCCTGTAGATAAAGTCAGTTCTTGCTTCCCCAGAATCACGTTAAACATGGCTAACAGTGTAGGTACAGAAGTGTAGTTAGTTGTGCGTTTGTGATTTTATTACTCTCCTATTTGTTTGGAGTTAATTTCTAGTGTGAGAGGTAAAGATAAAGAACATATAAAACATTTTTTGTTAGGTAGTGCTATGGAGAAAAAGCAGAGAGAAGGTTGGAGTGCAAGGTGTTTTGCTCTTAGAAATATCTTGGTGAGGGAAAGTTTCACTGAGAACGTGACAGTTGAGGAAAGATCTGAAGGGGGTGAACGAATGAGCACTGTAGATATGGGGCTAAGGAAGAGCG